CCAATTGACACGTGTCGTGAAGTACCAAAGAACATGTAGAAAAATGCAGGAAAACATGACGCGTAGAGACCGTAGACAGGATCGACCCCGGCCAGGGCAGAATAAGCGATACCTGAAGGTTTGTGAGTAATCACAGTAAGGGAATGAGAATATGGTTAGGTGATACTCACCTTGAGGCACATGCATGATACCAGTAGTAAGTCCTCCGATGATGTCATTTACTAGATATTCCTTGACAGGATATTTAGGTAGCCATTCCAGGATAGGCATAAAACCGAATACAGTGTTCACAAAAGGTCGCCACCCTGTGAATGGATAGCAATACGAGCTATGCAGGGCCCTCAAATTTTGGATTTCACTTAGAACATTGTTCAAGTTCAGTCAAAAACACTCACCTTCCTATTTGCCGTAAGATCGGTTCCCCGTTACTCGGCTTGTCACCATATTCCGCATCGTATTCCTCCTGAATACGGTAACAATCATTTTTATAATTTTGGCCATCAATCTACGGTTGTTCGCGGATGGGGGTATGTGATTTTAAGCCATGAACAATTCACGGCTTCCGATATTCGACTGTTTGGTGACGGGCCGAAGAATCTTCTACCACAATTTTCCATTGTGCCGAATATCTATTAAAATAGACAGTGGGCAATAGAGTTTAAATTGGTATTGGTTTTCATCACGCTCAATGCTCCAGGAGAGGTTTCTATGTTTACAATTTTCTTTATCTATTATTTATTCGGGCTTAGGTCTTATAGTGCCGTCTGGGGATCAGAATCGGGATTATTGCCCTCCCAGGCCAACGACGATTTCCATCTTTGTAAGATCACTTTATCGGTACCATGAAGGATATAAGTATAATGTATACAACAGCCGGATACCGCAAGTTGTTGTATAGACCATATACGCATTCAAACACTGTCGCGACTCTCAATGATAACCATATGCATGGCGCATTCCAGAAACGGGATCAATCGGCACCAAAAGACTTATCCTTCATTGTTTAT